TGTAAATGATAAAACTAATAATCATGATAATGATATTGATGATAACAATGATAGTAACGATTACGATGACGCCTATGATAATAATACTGTTATTGATAAAAATAATGATTATGACAGTGAAAAAGTAATAATTTTAATCATGATTGTAAAAGTAATAAAATATAACAGTGATAGCGACAATAATGATAGAAGAATAATGATAATAACGATAATCATGATAAGAACTATATCTATATGATAAGAATGATTATAACAATAACTATATTACTTTAAATGATCATATCCATAATAGTGAAAAAATGCAGTGATAAGGAATTACAGAAATAGTATTAGAATAAGTTCATGATAATAGTGACACTGATGACAACACTAATGAAAGATTGATACATGCACAAAAATGAAATTAGTCTGAACAGCAACAAATGAATAATGGCAAAAAGTAATAACGTTTACAGCAATTTGACCATAAAAGAAGTATTACTGCTACTTGAAACGATTACCAAAATAACAATAACACAAATAATAATTGCAATAAATCAATGTAAAACAAGATCTTTCCAATGAGGTAATAGACCTTCCATGCGCATGACAAGTTCTGCAACATACAAGGAGCAGGTGCATGACGTCACAGCACAAGCGGGTATAAGTACGTTTATTCCCAGAGTCTCTGACACAAGCCATCCAGCATCCACACCAACATGAACTCAAAGGTAAGTGCCACTTAAGGGTTCCTGTGGAGTCAGGCTGTGCAGAGATATTTTCGTTACTGCGGTTAGAACAATTAGCTGCAGCAACGATGATAAAATCCAGAACTTATTTTTGATAATATATATGATATTGGTTCTTGTAAGATATATTCATTGAGAAATATGAGAGGAGCTTTCGTGGAACATGTATCACAGCTTTCCTCTTCTCCAGTAATAAGTAACCACTTCTTCCTCAGGTCCTTCTTCTCGTGACTCTCGTGGCTGTGGCTGCCGCTGACAGGCGCCCCTACTCGTACTCCGCCCCCGAGGTCAGTGGGGGAAAACAGCCTTTCATCTCTGTATTAAGAGTTGATACAGAGGTCACATTGAATTATCTTGTATTAATGGCTAATCATTACCATTACAATTTAATACTGTAGAGGCCAAAAAATATTTAACATCCAATCTTTAAAACTAAATCATAATTCAACAACCTGTACTACTGTATTGAAGGGTCCATCGATAATAAAGTTAATGTTACGTATTTTATAATATATAAATTTTCAAGTATGTATATACCCTGCAACAAAAGGCAATGCAAAGTGATGAGGGTATGCTTTATTTTACAGTTTTCCTCTGAGGAATTCGGCCCCGCCAACTACAACTTCGACTGGGCGGTCCAGCACAGCGACTCCGGCAACAACTTCGGCCACCAGGAGGCCCGCGACGGCCACGACACCCAAGGATCCTACTACGTGCAGCTCCCCGACGGCCGCCTGCAGACCGTCAGGTTCACTGTCCAAGGAGACTCAGGATTCCTCCCTGAGGTGTCCTACGAGGGAGAGGCTCGTTACCCTGACTCCTTCGAGTCGTTCGAGTCGTTCGAGTCTCGTGAGTCTCGTGGCTACGCCCCTCCAAGGCCCGTGTATGGTTAGAATTTGCCAAAGATTGAGAACTCGTTGCCACATCGGTCACCATCACTTCCTCAGATAATTTATTTTACATCACGTGCAATATATCATGTTACCTTTGATTTTGAATAAATCAAGCAGATAAAGCTAACTTATCTATAATGTACCCTGGTGTTATGATTCCTTACATTCTGAAGATATATTTAAGTAAAAGGAGTATGCTGATAGTATGATAGTAAAAAGATGATAGTACTACTGCTACTGCCACTGATAAGTATGATAATAATGATAACGATTATCATCATAATGATAGCGATAATAAAGATATTATTGATGTGGTTAGCAATTATAAAAACTATTAGGAAAATACTAATACTCATACAAATGAGTTTGATAACGATGATAATAATGATAACATCAATCATAATGATGGTAATTATGACAGCAATACAATAATGAATATTATGATAATATAAATACAAATGAAAATGATAATAATGATCATAGAATATCAATGATAACGAACTAGATAACAAATAATAATACTAGCGTAAATGATAATGTTGGCACTACTGATAATGCTGATAATGATTATAAGATAATGATGTTCATGATGAAAATAGCAATGATATGACTGGTAATAATAGATAAAATGACAATAAAAGTGTCAAAAGAAGTAATGACAAAATCCATTATGACGAGGGTATTGTTCATAAGAATAGCAATAATACAACTAATAACACAAACACTAATACAAAAAAAATAAAAATAAAATAGAAATAAAAAATAGAAATATAATAATAAAAAAATAAAAATAATAAAAATAATAATGAAATAATAATAATAATAATAATAATAATAATAATAATAATAATAATAAATAATAATAAGAATAATAATAATAATAATAATAAATAAATAATAAAAATAAAAATAATAATAAAATAATAATAATAAATATTAATAAAAATAATAATAAAAATAGATACAACTAATAACACAAACACTAATACTGATGATAATCTAATTCCAGGTAGAATGACAATGATAGTTGCTCAATTGTTTACTGGTAATGTGAATTATGATGGTAATAACAAAAGCATATTATCATTATTATTATCATCATCATTACTGAAATAACTACTTTTATTATTGTTACTCTATTTATTATTATAATTTTCATTGTTATCATTGTTATTCCTAGTATTATCATTACCATTATCATTATTATTTTTAATATTGTTATTGTTACCGTCGTTTCTGTTAATACTAAAGCAGTCGTTATTATTATCATTATTACTAATATAAGTATTATACTGATGTGAATATCAATATTAATATCAACACTATTATCATTATTATTGCTGCTATTGTTATCATAACCATCTTTTCAGTATCTACTAGTTCCTATCATTATTACAATTTTATCACTATTGCTATTTTCATTATCATTTTTAAATAATTTCTGTTGTTGAAATTAATGTTAATGCCATTATTATTATCATTATTATCATTTTCATTATTATCATTATTATTACATTTATTATTTATATTATCATTGTTTTTATATCGTCATTGTGTTATTATTGTTGTTGTTATTATTATTATTATCATAATTATTATCATTATTGTTATTATTGGTGTCGTTATTATTATCATCATCAATATCATGGCCATCAATATTGATATCATGAACATCCCCATCATCTTCACTATCATTATTGTTACTGTCACTATTATTATATTGTTATTGTCGTTATTAGTTTTATGACTTTTGTTCCTCTTATCATTATTACTATTATCATAGTTATAATTCTAAATATTATGATCATTACTGTTATTCTTTTTACATCATCAAAATCAAAGTTATGGTTATGATTATTACAATTAGTAATATCAATCTTGTTATTTTTATACTTGTCATTCATATCGTTAATTCCAGAACTATTATCAAAAGTATCTTTGCTATGTTTTTTTTTTATTTTTTTTTTTATAACTGAAACTATTTGTCATAATGATAATACTAATATTGATACTAATACTAATAACATTAATCACGATAATAATATTCATGATAATGGTTATCTTTGTTGTTTTTATCATTATTAGCGCTATTATCATTATCATCCATTTTTTATTATTATCAACAATATTGTCAATATTATAATTTATTTTGATATATTATTATTATTATTATTATTATTATCATTAATGGTAATAACTTTATCGTCCTTAATATTATTTTATTATTATTATTATTATTATTATCATTACTTTTATCATTATTATCACTATTATCAAAATCATTATCTTTTTTGTCATCACCTTCATCTCTCTTGTTATCATTACTTATTTTCTTTATGATAATCACTGATGCCTTCATTAAATGAACAGAACAACAGTGATATTAAATGTAATAGTTGTGAGGAAGATTTTTTTTTTTTTTTTTTTTAGTTGTGAGGAAGACTTTTTTTTTTTAATTATTATACAACAGGGATCCAAATAGTAACGATAATAATGGTGACAATTGTAAGAGAATTATAATGCAAACAAAAATGATGAATAATGATAATGATAATGATATAATGATTATAATAATAACAATAACAACAACAACAGCATTAATATAATATAATAATAATAATATATAATAATAATAATAATAATAATAATAAATAAAATAATAATAATAATAATAATAATAATGATAAATATAATAATACATCAATAACGTAATGAAAAATATCGATAATAATAATAATTTAAATGATGATAAATAATCATAACAAAAATAACCATAATTATTATGATCCTATAATAATGAAACATAACAAATTATTGTAATGAAAAATAATGATAATAATTATGAAAAAAATGAAAATATGAAATAATAGAAACGAAAAATAATAATGATAATAATTATTACAAGAATTGTATCCTTAATAATGAGATTATAATGATAATATTAATATAAATGATTATAACCAAAACAGCAAGAAGAATATTAATAGTGATAATTATAGAAATAATTAGAGAGCAAACAAGGTCCCTGATAACAACGGCACTGATGATAATAACACTACTGAAGTACTGATCCAGGAACGAAAATGAAATTAGTCAGAACAGCAACAAAACAATTAATATTAATGCTAATAAAAGTATTAACTTTTACAATGATTTGGCAATGAAAGTATTATTACTGCTATTTGCCATTGTTTATTATTACGATAATAACAATAACATGAAAATTTATTATAATAAATAAATGTAAAGCAAGATCTTTCCAATGAGGTAACAGACCTTCCATGCGCATGACAAGTTCCGCAACATACAAGGAGCAGGTGCATGACGTCACAGCACAAGCGGGTATAAGTACGTTTATTCCCAGAGTCTCTGACACAAGCCATCCAGCATCCACACCAACATGAACTCAAAGGTAAGTGCCACTTAAGGGTTCCTGTGGAGTCAGGCTGTGCAGAGATATTTTCGTAACTGTGGTTAGAACAATTAGCTGCAGCAACGATGATAAAATCCAGAACTTATTTTTGATAATATATATGATATTGGTTCTTGTAACATATATTCATTGAGAAATATGAGAAGAGCTTTCGTGGAACATGTATTACAGCTTTCTTCTTTTCAGTAATAAGTAACCACTTCCTCCTCAGGTCCTTCTTCTCGTGACTCTCGTGGCTGTGGCTGCCGCTGACAGGCGCCCCTACTCGTACTCCGCCCCCGAGGTCAGTCCTTATCTTTTTATCAATAGTTCATACTGAGGTAAAACTACCAACTGTCTGGTATTGATGACTAATCATTTCAACTGCAAATGAATGTTGTAGAGAGGTCACATTGCATTTTGTAAATAAATAATACACCTTATATGAATACAAGCAGTTCATCGTCTTACAAAAGTTGAGTCATTACTTTTGTATTGAAAGGTCTTATTTGATCCATAATTCATAATGTACATATTTTTGAAAAATGCATATACCTTGGAACGAAAAGGCAGTGCAAAAGTAATTAAAGTATGTTTCATTTTACAGTTTTCCTCTGAGGAATTCGGCCCCGCCAACTACAACTTCGACTGGGCGGTCCAGCACAGCGACTCCGGCAACAACTTCGGCCACCAGGAGGCCCGCGACGGCCACGACACCCAAGGATCCTACTACGTGCAGCTCCCCGACGGCCGCCTGCAGACCGTCAGGTTCACTGTCCAAGGAGACTCAGGATTCCTCCCTGAGGTCTGTCCTACGACGGAGAGGCTCGTTACCTGACCCTTCGAATCGTTCGAGTCATTTGAGTCGTTCGAGTCTCGTGAATCTCGTGGCTACGCCCCTCCAAGGCCCGTGTATGGTTTTGCCAAAGATTGAGAACTCGTTTCGATCACAACATCACTTCCTCAGATAATTTATTTACATCACGTGCAATATATAATGTTACCTTTGATTTTGAATAAATCAAGCAGATAAAGCTAACTTATCTATAATGTATCCTGGTGTTATGGTTTCCTTAAATCTGAAGATGTATTTAAGGAAAAGGATGATGATAATGCAATGATAGTACGAAGATGAAAGTAGTACTACTCCTACTACTGCCACTGATAAGTATGATAATAATGATAACTACGATTATTATATAATGGTAAAATAATGATAGCGATAATAAAAATGATAATGGTATGGATAATGATTATAATAAAATAACTATGTGGAAAATGCTGTTACTAAGACTAATACAAATGAGTATGATAATAATGATAATTATAATGATAAACCATGCAGTCGTTATTATCACATTATTATCAATGTAGATATTATATTGATATGAACATTAATAATCACTATCATAGCTAATGCTGCTATTGTTATAACCATCTTTGTCGGTAGTATCTAATTTTATCATTATTACGATATATATTGTTATTTTCACTACCATTTTTTAGTATTACTTCTGTTGATATATTATTGCTATCATAATTATTATTATCATTTTTGTTTATTTTTATTATTTTTACTTTTATTATTGATATTGTGTTATTAGTATTTTACTTATCATTATCAAGTAGTAGTATTGCTGTTATCATCATTATTATTATCTTTTATTATTATCATTATTATAATAATCATTATCACCAATATCATTAGCATAAATATTAATATCTTCATCACCATTATTTTAAACAATCATTATTGTTATTATTATATTCTTATTGCTGTTAATGTCATTATTAGTATTAGTATGATTTTCATTGTTATTATCGATTTTACTATGATTAATAGTATTATTACTATCACTGTCATCCTTATTCTTAATCAAGATCATAATTATGATTATGATTATGATATAATGTCATTTTACTTGTCACTGATACTGTTAATACTGGAACTATAATCAAAGGTATCACTTTTCTAAATCTTATAATCCTTGCTAATCCTTCATTTATTGTTGCAGTTATTTACCAATGACAATGATAATATTTATCACTAGAAATTATGATAATAATATTCACGATAATGGTTATCATTATTATTGTTACGGTTATTATTATTATTATTTTATTATTATTATTATTATTATTATTATTATTATTATTATTATTATTATTATTATTATTACTTTTATCATCTACATTGATATATTTTTTTTTATCATTGGTAGTAGTACTTCTATCATCCTTATTATTATTGTTTGTTATTATCGTTTTATCATTATTATTAATCTATTATTATAATTATTATTTCATCTCTAGTCACGTTGTTTTCATTGTCTTTATCATTACTGCCTTCATTTGATAAAAAAATATAACGGTAGTGATTGTAATAATATGAATCTGATGATATTAAATATGATAGTTGTAACGATAAAAATAATCTTAGCAAGTAGTGATAAATATAGTGACGATAATGATAAGAATAAACAATTATAGTGAGAGTAATAATGGAAAAAAATGATGATATAATAATAATAATGATAGAAATAATGATAAAGATAGTAAAGGACAATAATGGTACTAGTAATAATGAAATAATGACAATATGATAAAAACAATCATTACAATAACGATCATCATAATAAAAATAATGATAATAACTATGACCATAGCAACAACTGTAGTAACATTACTGATAATGTTTAAGATTAACAGTTTAAATGAAAAGTGATGAAAAAGTAATAATAGGAATAACAATAATGGTGATAGTAATAATCGAAAAAATAATAGTAATGATTGTAACAAGATAATAATCGGTAATGATAGAACAAGAGAATATAACATAAATATTTAATAATATAACTTAAGATAACAGACCTTCCATGCGCATGACAAGTTCTGCAACATACAAGGAGCAGGTGCATGACGTCACTGCACAAGCGGGTATAAGTACGTTTATTCCTGAGTCTCTGACACAAGCCATCCAGCATCCACACCAACATGAACTCAAAGGTAAGTGCCACTTTAAATTTGCTTGTGGAGTCAGGCTCTGCAAATATAGTTTCGTTACTGTGGTTAGAACAATTAGCTGCAGCAACGATGATAAATCCAGATCTTCTTATAATAATATATATGGTATTGATTCTTGTAAGATATATTCATTGAGAAATATGAGAGGAGCGTTCGTGGAATATGTATTACAGCTTTCTTCTTCTCCAGTAATAAGTAACCATTTCCAGAACTTATTTTTGGTAATATATATGATATTGGTTCTTGTAACATTCATTGAGAACTATGGCACGAGCTTTCATAGAATATTCTTTACTGCTTTCCTCTTATCCAGCAATAAGTAACCACTTCCTCCTCAGGTCCTTCTTCTCGTGACTCTCGTGGCTGTGGCTGCCGCTGACAGGCGCCCCTACTCGTACTCCGCCCCCGAGGTCAGTGGGGGAAAGCAGTCTTTCATCTCTGTATTAAGAGTTGAGACTGAGGTTACATTGAATTATCGTGTATTAATGGCTAATCATTGCCTTTACAAATTAATATTGTAGAGGCCAAAAAATATTTAGTATCCAATCTTTAAAACTAAATCATACACCGTATAAGAATAGAACTTAAGTAATTCAACAAAACAGAGTCATTACTCCTGTATTGAAGGGTCCCTCGATTATAAAGTTATTGTTACGTATTTTATGATATAAATTTTCTGCTGAGGAAATCTTGGAGTCATATTCTTATTTTGCCAATGTTTCTTTCAAATGTACAATACCTATAATACATAGTAAGATAAGTAATGCAAATAATGATTTTTCCAGTTTTCCTCTGAGGAATTCGGCCCCGCCAACTACAACTTCGACTGGGCGGTCCAGCACAGCGACTCCGGCAACAACTTCGGCCACCAGGAGGCCCGCGACGGCCACGACACCCAAGGATCCTACTACGTGCAGCTCCCCGACGGCCGCCTGCAGACCGTCAGGTTCACTGTCCAAGGAGACTCAGGATTCCTCCCTGAGGTGTCCTACGAGGGAGAGGCTCGTTATCCTGACTCCTTCGAATCCTTCGAGTCGTTCGAGTCGTTCGAGTCCCGTGAATCTCGTGGCTACGCCCCTCCAAGGCCCGTGTATGGTTAGAATTTGCAGAAGATTGAGAACCAGTTGCTGCATCGGTACTATTGTATCCTTAGATAATTTATTTTCGATTACCATGTATATTTTAGTGTGTATCATGTACTTTTTCATTAAATCATGCATATAAAGCTACTTGATTTATATCTATGTGTCCTAACAATTTAAAGTAACTACTTACTAGTAAAAAATGCATCAAAGAAAAAGTAGTAGCATTAATAATAACAGAGAAAAAAGAACAAGAACAATAGTAATAATGATGATAAAGACAATAATATATAATGACGGCAACTGATATAATAACAAAAATAATATCTATAATAATGGCAAAACAATGACAATACTAGAAATAGTGATAATGAAAGAATGACAAAAAATATAGGTAATATATGTGAACATATGTCATACCTATGTGTTGCATGTATATACATATGTAAATAATAATAATCATATGCAAGCACACATACACGCGGGCATATATACATATAAACGTGTGTAATCATATATATACATAAGTATATATGTGTATGTATGCATGTATGTTTATAAATACACGGATATACATACATACAAATGTATAAATATAAATATACATATATACATAATATAATTGCTAATGACATTATTATTACAATTATACTCATTGACATCATTAGATCATCACCATCATCAAAATTACATTATCATTGTTTTAACCGTTACGATCATGAGCATTATTAGTTATAGCTAATGATAATAATTATGATAATTAATAATAATGATAATAATTATCACATAATAATATAAAATAATAATGATTAATGATAATGATAATGATATTTAGAAATAATAATGATGTTGATAATAATAGAAGTAATAATAAAACAATAATGAAAATGTAAATGATAATTATCATTATCAACGGTATCGTTACTATCATCGTTAATAAATCAATAATGGCTGTGAAGATGCTGATAATGAAATGACGATAATAATAATCATGATAATATACAACGAACGACAAGCCAAGAATAACAACAACAGTAACAGTAATTATGATAAAAACACTAACAATGATGATCATAATCATGGTAATAAGAACAATACTACTACTAGTAGTAATAATACTATTAGTATTAACAATAATGATTAAAGTAATATAAAATAACTCATAATCTAGATAATGATTGTGATAAAATGAAAATAATAATGGATTTACTAAGAATAAAAACAATGATTATTTGAAACGATAATAACTGTGACAATAATTGCATGGCACATGATAATGTAAAATAGATAATGATAATAATAAATATCACAGTGATGATAATGATAATAATATTGATAATAATGACAATAAATATGATAATGAGAAAAATGTCAGTATTACTAATAATAATTATGATAAAAAAGAACAACAATAATGAAAGTTTAGTAACAGAATGATCTTAATCATAGCGATGATAATATCAGCATATATGTAACCATTAGTGAAAATGATAATGACTGTAAAAGTATATAGTATAATTCATTATATTACTTTATATATAATACTGACTATGATAATCTTAAAATTACATAATATAAAAATATATATTATTTTTGAGTGGCCTTATCCGTCTCACGTGTCTTATCAGTGTTGGAGGGAACAGAAAAAAACTATTTTAACATATATGTACTTAGTTTCAAAAATTCACAACCCAGAATCAATATTTAGACGATACGAACAAAAATAATTCCTGGCGTATATCACTGTGACATGAGTGGAAAAATGACATAGCTGAGGGAACAGAAGAAGACGCAACACACTGATGCTATTAGTGTCTATTTATCTTCAGCTGCACTAACATGACTGTAAACAATGGACATAATTAACAGCACTTTTCTATCATGTAAACAATGAAAATAAATGAATAAGTAAAAAAAACTATCACGTGGGAAACTAACGGGTAAGGTAATGTGCTGCTCACGCAAGGAGGGTCAATGGCAGAGTGAAGGGGTACCTTGTTTACAGGTGACAGGTCAGAGCACACTGCCGCACATGGGCTAAACAGTCGAAGGAGAACTAACGTGTACATTTCATAAATAACTTCTATTAGAAAATAATATATCTAATTGATATCTAATCACCATAACCATAGCCAAAACACATAAAATACGTAAATCCTTTACAGTCCGTAATAATTGAACAGTTTAAATATTATGACTAAATATAACTGCAAAAAGTCAGTGAAAAGAACTGGAGATGAAAGAGAGAGAAAGAAAGAAAGAGAGAGAGAGAGAGAGAGAGAGAGAGAAGAGAGAGAGAGAGAGAGAGAGAGAGAGAGAGAGAGAGAGAGAGAGAGAGAGAGAGAGAGAGAGAGAAAACGGAAAACAATCTTTCCAATGAAGTAATATACTTTCCATGCGCATGACAAGTTCTGCAAGATGCAAGAAGCGGATGCATGACGTCACTGCAATCGGGTATAAATACAGCCGTGTCTTGGATACCTGACACAAGTTATTCAACTTCCACACAAACATGAACTCAAAGGTAACTGCCACCTTTATAAAGTTTTCGTTACTGCATTGGGAAGAACTTTAATAACTGAAAGAACTGAATAGGATGTTTTACGAATATTATTCTAATAACAGATATTTTCACAGTGAAACATGAAAGAAAAATGTTTTACGTTACTCATGAACACGTGACCACTTCCTCCTCAGGTCTCCTTCTCGTGACTTCTCGTGGCTGTCGCCGCCGCTGACAGGCGACCTACTCCTACTCCGCCCCCGAGGTGAGTTAACGCAACTAGAGGTTTAAGCGTTTTATAATAGCTTGTTTGAATCGCCAGCTTCGGTTCTTTTACTGCTGATAAGCATTTCAATTTTGCAATGATAAGCTGGGAACGTATTTATTAATTTTTGATGTTTCTTCAGTTCTCTTTCCGAGGAATTCGGCCCGCCAACTACAACTTCGACTGGGCGGTCCAGCACAGCGACTCCGGCAACAACTTCGGCCACCAGGAGGCCCGCGACGGCCACGACACCCAAGGATCCTACTACGTGCAGCTCCCCGACGGCCGCCTGCAGACCGTCAGGTTCACTGTCCAAGAGACTCAGGATTCCTCCTGAGGTGTCCTACGAGGGAGAGGCTCGTTACCCTGACTCCTTTGAATCCTTCGAGTCGTTCGAGTCGTTCGAGTCCCGTGAATCTCGTGGCTACGCCCCAAGGCCCGTGTATGGTTAGAATTTGCCAAAGATTGAGAACCAGTTGCTGCATCGGTACTATTGTATCCTTAGATAATTTATTTTCGATTACCATGTATATTTTAGTGTGTATCATGTACTTTTTCATTAAATCATGCATATAAAGCTACTTGATTTATATCTGTGTCCTAACAATTTCTTTAAAGTAACTACTCAGAATGGACCAAAGAAAAAGTAGTAGCATTAATGAAATAGATTAAAAGGACAAGAACAATAATAATGATGAAAGAACAATATAATTATAATGACAGCTAATAATGACAAACAAAATATCTATAATAATGACAAAAACAATGACATATAGAAATAGTGAGAATGAAATAGTGATAGTGTGCACATATATATACATACACGTGTGTAGTATGCCTGTATACAAAATGTATATATGTGTAAATAGTAACAAATAATAATAATCATGTGCAAACGCGCATACACACGGGCATATATATACATATAAACGTGTGTGTAATCATATATATATAATATAATGTATATATATATATATATATATATATATATATGTATATATTATATATATAATATATATATATATATATATATATATATATATATATATATATGTATGTGTATGTATGCATGTATGTTTAAAAATACACGTATATACATACATGCATACATATGTATAACTATAAAAATACA